ATATATATATATATATGTATAAGAAACCTAAAGAAACAACTGTTGGTATTCAGTCAGGCTTCTGTTGCAGCCTCAAAGTGCTTCGATCCCCCGTGCTGAGGCTCAGCCAAGGCTTGAGGGTGCAAAGCGATCGAGAAAATCCCCACCGGCAAGGAGAGCCGAAGCAGAATCCCAAACTAAAAAAACCCTAAACTTCCTAAACCCAAAGCTCTAAACCGTAAACTCCAAAAACCCTAAGCTCTAGACCCTAAACTCTAAACCCTAAACTCTAAACCTTAAACTCTAAACCCTAAGCTCTAAACCCTAAGCCGAACCGGACCGACATCGACACCAAGAAACCTAAACACAAAGCCCCTCAAGCCGGAGCCCCGGAGACGACTGTGGACCCAAGCGTCCCTAAACCCTGAACCCTAAACCCTAAACCCCTAAACCTACAACCCCTAAACCTTAAACCCTAAACCCCCTAAACCCTAATCCCTAAACCCTATAAACATGTTATCTGTGGCAAGCGTGTCCTTGGACCATGAAACCTGCAAAAACCCGACCAAACCCGGCACCTCAACCCTAAACGGTGAAACCCTTCATCATTGTTATACCAGAGCTTTAGGGTTTAGGGTTTAGGGTTTTATTATTGTTTTTATTGTGGTTGCTGCTGTTATTGCTATTCTTGCTGATTCAGTATCATTATGAGTATCATTATTGTTATCAGTTCTACTAGTACTATTATTATTACCTCCTGCGGTTGCTGCGGTTATTGCTATTCTGGCTTTTTTATTATGATCATGAGTCAATTTTTTCATTACCATTATTTCTTCATTTTTTAGTGTACATATGTATTATCATTACCGTTGTTATCCTCTTCTTCGTTACCCGTATTATGCTCGCTTTTTCAAGCTGCTCATATTCTTATCACTACATGTGTGACAGTAACAACTACTATGAACCTTGTTGTTATTATTATTACCATTATAATTATAATTATAATTATAATTATAATTATTATTATTATTATTTTTATGCTTATGAAGCCCTCTCCTTCAACCCTTTCGGACCCACACTCGCAACAAGATCTCTTAGTACTGGCTTCCCGGACCTTAAACCCCTAAACCCCAAACCCTAAACCCTAAACACCCCTGAACCCTAAAGGCTTTAAGGCTTGGAAAAGAGGTGTTCAGAACCCCCTGGACCTCCCCCCGGGATCCCAGGGGGTATCAAAACTTCAGCGCTGGCCCCAAGCTGCCGCGAGGTTGCCTTTTGAGGTCGAACACTTCGGGTTTAGTAATTTAGGGTGAACGGAGGGATCCCATTTCGAGGAGTGGTTCTAAGGTGGCACGTCCTTAACCCTTACCCTCAAAGGACTCATATTTTAAGGCTTTTGGGCCCAAAGACCCCGGGTTATAAGACTTATGGGCTATGTTGATGCTAAGGGTAACATTCCTCAACCTCAAGCTTTGGCCGCACAGTTTAAAGCCCCCATACCCCTAGCCCCCGCAAGCGTTGTACTGCAAATGCCGGCGAGGAGCAGGACTTAATTTAGTCCAGGCTTACTTTAGGGGCCTGACTTATTAGAATAGGGTCTTGGGGCCCACTATACTATACATATAGTAAGGAGCCCCCCGAATAGTATTGGTAATTATTTAGGCCCCTACATTGCTTCGAAGACCCGGGCATATTCGAGAGGAATCTGTCCTGAACCCCAAACCCTAACAAAATCTCACTAAACCCCGAAGAAAACCTTAAACCCTGAACCCTCAACCGGAGCCATTGCCCCTGAGTAGGGTTGCCGGAGATCCTTTGGGGTTCCTTCACCGGGCTTTGATGTAGGTTTTCGGGTCTGGGGACTGCATAAGGGTTCTGAGCAGGGGCGGGGGGGCGGGGGGCGGTTTAGGGTTTAGGGCAGTTTAGGGTTTGGGGATTTAGGGTTTAGGGTTTAAGGTTTAGGGGCAAGGGTTTTTGATATGTTCTGATAAGGGTTGCAGGATCTGCGGGCTTTGTAGGCATATTCTACTCGAGGCGACTGTTGCCCCAGTACTCGCAGGGTTTTTTGGGTTTGGGGTTCTATTTCACTGGGGTTGCGCTACAAGCGTTTACAGCTCAGGACGGATGGTCTGCGGAGTTTCAGCCGCGTTCCGCGCGTGATGCGAGCCTGCTGGCAGAATTTGGAAGAGCTGCGATGGCTGCTCCAATGGGTTCTAGCATTAGGTTTTGTGTGTAGGAGGTAGCTTAGCTCCAGCTATTGTGTCATCAATCAAGATGCAGCTTCCTGCGAGTTGCGGATTTTTGTATAGCCTGTTTGTGGATGGAGTGATTCTTTTGAAAATCTAGAAAACCCAAAACCCCCTAATCCTAAGCCAAAAAAAGTTAACCCTAAACCGCCTAAGCCTCAGCTCAAGCCACACTCTCCACTAACACCGGCCCTGAGACGCTTCTGGGTCCTGCAGAAGTCCGAATGTCTTGTGACCCGGAATCCTTAAGCGGAAAGTCGATAACGCATTAGCCAGAAAGTTGGGGTTAAGGTTTAGGCTTCCTGAATTTCTCAATCCCATGCCCGAAAATCAGCCAGCAAACGCGCCTTTTACCTGCTACTCATATCGGCACAGTTAGGGCTTCGCGGTTGGGGTTTGATACCTGCAGCCTTTCAAGCAGCCGTAAAGCTCTGTGCCCTGAACCGTAAGTTCAAAAACCGAAACTATGCAGACCTGAAAGCTAAAGCCACAAGCCATGAATCCTACCTCAATTCTAAATCCTAGCCCCCCACCCGTTCACCCCTTTTTCAAAACAGCGCACTAAGCCCTAAACTGCCCCCAAACCCTTTAAAGCATAACAGAAACTTGACCTCCAAGCCACAGAACACATTTTCAAGCACAGAAAACATAGACAAACAACAGCATAATAATCATCATCAGGTGGTTTTGCTACTTTCTGCCAGCAAAATGGAGGTCGTCGAACTCGCTAAGGCTCTCCGCAAAAGATGAGCTGCGTAGAGGGGGTTTAGTATTTAGGGTTTCGGGCATTAGTATGGAACCGGGGTCTAAGGTCAATGCCAATGATGGTCTTTGGGTGCCGAAGTCCATAGTGAGTAGTACATATGGACCCCGTGGGTACAGTCAGTATGAGGATAGAAATTTCGGGGGTTTAGGGTTTCTTTTGGGGGAACGGGTGTTTTATTTTGCTGTTGCTGCTTTTTTGTTGTTGTGCAAGCCCCGGCGAACCAGCAAATGAGTGAACTGCCGCTGGGAGCCCAAACAGCA